GCTCTACCCTGTCCTGGGCCTTTGCTCCTGTAGCTCCTTTCGCCTGAGACTCCTTCAAGCCCACCCGCCTCGTCGTCCATCCAGTTAACTCCGCCTCTGGGCCCCTCCTGACAGCCTGTCCTACTGTGCCCACCTGCCTCGCTATGTCCACGTAGGCACCTGCCTCGCCCCTCCCTGGAGGCTATCGTCAGGTTGTCACTCACAGACAGATGCAGTACGATTCTGTGACAGTGTCCCCCAGGAGACAGCTGTGGAAAGGCACCGATGCTGCAGCTTTCACGCCTCGTTATCCTGGCCGGTAGCACCTTGTGGGCAAAGAGTAGCCCACAAATAACTGTTGGAAGAATGAATCCTTCGGTCTTTCCTGTCACCTCCACTAGGTTAGGCCCCCTTGTCCTATATGCTCAGTAGGACCTGAATTTTCCCTCTCCAGTCCAGTAATTATAGACTTGGCTGATTATGGGATTATTAATAATAATCTTCCCCTGAGGGCCCTGTAAAGGCTGCTTCATGTTTGCTCTCCTCACCATTGTGAGCTTAGCGCGGTGCCCACACAGAGCAGGTCCTCAACTCATGCTTGTGCTGAGGACAGCCTTGGGACCTGTTGACCTCAAAGGGGGTGACTTAGTGTCTGGGTGTAAAGGCTGCATAAAGTGGCTCATTACCTACGAATTCAAATTTGTATGCATGTAATAAATTATCTAGTAGTGCTATGAGCAACTTCTAAGCTGGACAAAGTGTTATGGACACAAACAACGCTGTGGGGAGCCCTTTGCACTGGCCCGAAGCCCCTTCCTCTGATGGGACTGGCTCTTTGGCCAGTGAAGTTCGAGTCCTTCTGTTCTAGGCAGAGACAGATCTTCTGTGAAAAGCTTAAGCCTCAGGAGCCTTCACTTGCAACATCACGCAAGGCCTGGGAGAGACACTAGCCAGGTGTGCACAGGGTCATGGGTTCTTGTAAAATAGGTCAAAGAAAGAGATTTTATTAATTTTTTATTTTTATTTTTTGATTAATCTTCACCAGAGGATATTTTTTCCATTGATTTTTAGACAGAGTGGAAAGGAGGGAGGGGGGAGAGAGAAACATTGATGTGAGAGAGACACACTGATTGGTTGCCTCCTGCACTCACCTGGAACAGGGCCTAGTATGGAAACTGCAACCCAGTTACATGCCCTTGGTTGGGAATCGAACCCGTGACCCTTCGGTGTGAGGGCAAACACTCTAACCACTGAGCCACACTGTCCAGGGCAAAAGTAAGAGATTTTAAATCACATTTAGTCAAGGCCCCATCTCTCTCTTTTTTTTTAACATCCCTTCTGTTCCCTGGTCGGGGGGATTAGAATGGAAATGGGTATCTTGGGGATCTGGCCATGGGGGGAGTTGAGTCGGGGACACATTGAGTTGGGCTTTAGTGGGATATATTCATGTGATGTTCAGACACGTCTTTGTCGTGTTGAGCCATGGCTGGTAGTCCCACTGTCAGAATGGCTCTGGGACTACCCGTCCTCCCCTCTGTGACAATTTCCCTGGTATTGTGACACCAGGCGGTGGCTAGTACTATGAGGCTCCTCTGAGAACCCTTTGCTTTGGTGCTGAGGGTGTGGGGTTGTTGCCATGGTTCCCCTTTACTTCCCGAGTTCCTGGAAACAGCCCTCTGATCTTTCTCTCCTGGTCTCCCAGTGGCCCTGTCGGCCTTGAACTCCCTGCCTCGGCGACCTCTCAGGAGTCACCTGACACACCTCGAGGGGCTCCCTTTTCCTGCTCGACTCCGAGCTGACTATTCTGCCCGTGACATTGGTACAACCTTTAGCAGAGCCCTCTCTCTGGGTCCTTCCATTCCCACCACCCCACCTCTGCTCCCTCATCCTTCTGATGTGTCCTGTGGAACCAACAAGTCGAAAGGGACACTGCTCTCTCCCCAAGACTCAGGACAAACTCCCAGAACTATGCGCTAGAAGAACAGACCACTCATAAGAGCGTGAAAAGGTAGACAGCAGGCCAAGCAGGAGGCAGAGAGAAGGGAAAGGGAAAGAAGATTAAAGGCAGGGTGGTAAGGAAGGCGAAGGCGGCAGTAGGTTAGAAAGATGCAGGCGAGAGCCGAGCTGAGGTCTTCCCTGCCGGATACGCGTGTGTGGATTCGGGTCACAGCGTTGGTTCGTGTCGGGCACCACATTAAGGACATCACGCTTCATCTCTCACCTGGGTCCCTGCAGTTGTTTCCTGACTGGTTTCCCAGCTCCCTCCCTCGCCCTCCTAAGCATGTCCTCAGCCCAGCAGCCCAGGGATCCCATTCAGATGTGAGTCAGAGGCCACTCCCTGGCTCTCCCACTCTCTGGCCTCATTTCCTTCCGCTGTGTCCCCACCCTCCCAGCCAGACTCACTGTTCCTCAAACACATTAGACCTGCTCCTGCCTCAGGATGTCCCTGTCTGGAAGGCTGTCCCGCTGCATGTCCATCTGCTGCTGTATCACACACATTGAGTCACCCCCCCGCTCGGGGTCTTCTGGTCATTCCATCTAGAACAACAACGCTGCCAATGCTGTCTAGCCTCTTTTCTTCCTAACATAATATGTAACTACTTACTCATTTTTGTTGTCTCTCTTCTTCTCATAGAATGTAGCTCTCTGTAAGGGCCGGAATCTTGGTTTGTTTACTGCAATATCTTTTCAAGAATAGTGCCTGGTACTTGGTAGGAGTGTATCTAATGTTTGTTGAAAGAATGACCTCTATAGAATGACTACATCCTGTAGAGGGTAAAAGTCGGACGAGCAGTGTGAAGTAGCTTGTCCAAGATCACGAGGTCATATGAAAGAGCACATGTTGAGCCGACCATGTCTGTTTCAGAAGCCTGTGGTCATCAACACCTGACTATAATAGGATGTTCCTCTTGTTAAAAGCTGCTGAGCTCGGTACAAGGAAATCGTTTCTCACCTCAGCCTTCCTTTATGGTTAACCCAACCTTCAGGCCTTCAGATGACCTTCCTGAGTTGCAAGGTGAGAGTATTGACAGAGGGAGATAAAGAACAAAATCGTAATGCATGTGCTCTGTGGGGAAGTGAAGGAACAGGTCTAAGTCCACTTGGTTAAAAATGTTGGGGACAACCTCGTCTGGGTGTCTCAGAGTACAAAGGGGATCTCTCCTCGGGCAGACCGGCCAACACATGTGTGGGCCACCTGCAAAGCTGGGACACCAAAAATATTGTGTGGATAATGGTTAGCTATTTGATATTTGCAAAAACATAAAAAGATGTTGTTGTGGGAAAAGACAGAACTTTGCTGGACTTCCTCAGAGGCATTTGACTGATGGCATTTGATTTCCCATTAAATTACATGGGGGAACAATGTACAGATGTATTGTAGAGCTATACACCTGAAACCTAAATCATTTTATTAACCCCTGTCACTCCAATAAATTCAATAAAAATTTTTAAAATTACGCTTGGGGATCATCATCGCTTTCGGTCTCTGAAGGTCTATCTGGCCCTGCTGATCCTGGTTGATGGGGCCAGTGGGCTCATTTTATCTGTCACTTACTTTCAAAAATATTATGTATGTATGGCTTCCAATGCATGATGGGAGGTGAAGAAGGCAAGAACAGTTGCTCTGTAAATCCTCAAGGAGTAAGAGTGTCGTTTCAGGCAAGGTTGGTTAATGCTGTTGTTTTAGCCTTGGAGTTGGAGCTCCTAGCCTTCCTTCTGCACCTTCTCTGATGTCACCCCTTGTGCACCTCCCTGAGTGGCCCTCCCCCAGCAATGACTCACTCCCTCTTCTGGGCCACAGATCTTATTATATTTATCACAGGGTATCATCATCACCCTATTCATTTCCCATCCCCTGTGAGACTCTGGACTCCTGGAAGGCCAGGCTCATTCCTTAATGCATTTTGTTCATCCTTGCACCTAGCACATGCTGAAGGTTCCACAATTTTGCCAAAGGCCATTAGATCCAGGCTCTGGACGCCAGATGAGTTTTTAAGGAAAAGGTCTCCTCTGGCAAATTCCTTCATAAGACATGCCAGGTGCCCAGCACTGTCTAAGAAACGGGTCAACGGGAGCAGGTGCTTCCGGGGCTCCTCACTTCTCGCCAGAACGCTCTGGGGCTGCTCAGTGACTCACAGCCGCCGCGCCCCAAGACACAGAAAAGGACAAAAAATAGGCTTTTGTCCTATCACGTCACTTCTCTGCGTTTTGGTTCCTCATTTTGCAGAAGTCATGCGTTGAAGTGGGAGACCTGAGTTTTCTGCGACTGACAGTCGGACTCGAGCCTGCTCCTGGGCAGTGATCAGCCCACAACCCCGCCCCTTCCCACTCTGCAGAGCAGGTCAGGCCTGGCTGCCTCGGAACAAGACCTGCACCCACACCCGTCCTCTGAGCTACCGCTTTGCGACATGCCTTTCCTGTCTCGGGGAGTGCATTTCTCCTGTAGCACACCTGCCGTCTGCCACCGCCTTCTGTGCTCCATTGCTGTACTGTTGACTCGGTGACTCAAGCCTGCTCTCAACGGGCATTTTAGCGAGATTTCATCCCTGTAAAAATGATGTGATAAATTTAGAGCACTGAATATATCCTGATGCTATTTATGTATTTTATTTTAAACTGCACATGCTGGTTTTTTTGTCCTTTTGCTCTCAGATCTATTCTCTGCAGTCCTCAATCCTGGGCTTTGCATCCCTGGGAACAATTTTCCCAGTTGCCCTTACAGACCTGGCCAAAGAGAGCCAGGGATGGAACATAGTGAGCGGAGGGGAGAAGCCAGGTTATTTCTCCCCTCTTCTCTGCTTCTAATGGTGACAGGCAGCGTCTCATCCATGTCCCCAGCACCTGCTGTACAGCCCTTTCCCCATGGTCCAGCATTAGCCTGGGGGGCTGCTGGGGTTCCATATTCTTCCAGGTGGCCCCAGCACCGGGGCTCCAGCCACACTGTCTTCTCCCTTCATCCCTCGAGCCCCAGGTTGGTGGTGGGCGATCTCTGGCCTCTCCCCTCCTGCATCAGCTGTATTGAACTCCCTCTGTGATGTTGAGCACAGCTTCTGCCTTCTGGTTGGACTCTCACTAAAACACTCTGAATGTATGTTATGCCTTTAAAAAAAATAGCTTGATTATGGCATAATTTACATATATAAGACCACAACTTTCATATTTATGCGTATGTGTTGTTTGAATATTTTTACAGTGATCACGTATTCACATATTGCTTACATAATGTTAAAAAATATTTATAGCAGAAGTGGGACGGATGAAGCAAAACACCAAGCACTTTAGCCGAAGCCTTAAGCTGCACAGGGAAAGCTCTGCAGATGTCACTAACCTTCATCCATGCAACAAATACTTTTATTTTCCATGTGCCAGGCACTGAGGGCCCACCAGTGGACAATTGGGCATGATCCGTGTCCATGTGATCTGCAGGAATTCAATACACAACTATATCAGTATTAACTAATTATAAGTATGAAGAAGTGAAGGGGGTAACGAAAGGCCCACCCCGGTCAGGGAAGGCTTTCCTGAGGATGTCCCTTACGAGCTGAGAGCCGCAGGAGGAGCAGATAAAGTTAGTGGCAGGAGGGAGATGGACAGACAGCATGGGATGGTCAGCTGGGCTGCGACGTGTGCTTCCCTGGCTCTGTTCTCAGGGAAGCTGCTCTAACAGCAGAGAGTTTGCTAGGTGGTGTTTCTCACTGAAACCTGCGGTGGGATGCCAGCAGGTGGGAAGAGTGGAGACTCTGGGGGAGTGGTTTTCCAGGCTGTAACCATGCCTCCTAACACTTGCGACCTTCATCTGCACCCCAGGTGGCTCTTACCGGGAGGAGAGGAAGCCACCGGTCCTGTGGGAGCTGACAAGACTGGTCTGGAAGTGGCTCAAGAACTAAGGATACCCTGGGTCAGCAGTGATACCCAAGTACCCACGTCCATGAACCACTCGGTGGGAAAACTGCCATTTCTCAGTCTAAGCAGAGTGGCAGGACATGCCCAAGACAAGTCCTCCATTCATTTTCTGTCCACTCTAAGTTCTTCTTGGAAAGAAATGCGGGGCTTTGTGGTGAAAACCCTCCATGGGCGAGTTTCTCCTTCCAAGCTCTGCATTAGGCCCTTTTTGTTTAACCTGACACATTTTTTGCCCATTTCTCAGTCCTTTGGCAATGGCTGTAGTCTCCTTGTTTTATTGTAAGCCATCAATTACCCTGTGAAATTAGGTGACTTATAAACCAGCCCGTGAATTGCAATTACGGTTCAGTTATAGCGTGGCCAGGCCTCCCAGATGATGTGAAATCAGGTTCCCTTTCCTTTGATGTCCAAATTATAAAGGTAACGACAGCATCTCAGCTCGACCTGTGTCCTCCAGCTATTTCTGGGCGTCCCCAACAGGATGCATCATTCTCGCTCACGAACCTGCTGCCGTAGCCCCGCAGATGCACCTGCTTCTCTCTGCTCTGGCTCCTCCAGGTCTGCCTCCTGCAGGGCCACGTGGAAAGCGGCAGGCTGTCACTGCTGTCCTGAAAGCAGCGCTGACGGGGCCACGTCCACGGCCGCTGCTAGAGCCGCCCAGCTCGGCAGCCGTGGGTGGTCAGAGCAGCGCGGATTTCAGGGTCAAGGGGGAAGTGGCCTCTTCCTCCCAGCTCTGTGCTCTGCTTGCTCACCTAGTATCTGAGAGTCATAAAGATTGTTTGTCAAGAGTTTCCCTACTTTCTGGCCCTCACCCATCTAAGCACTGGGACTTAAAACCAGGTCCTAAAATCTAAGTCCTAGCCTGGCTGGGTGGTTGAGGGTTGTCCTAGAATCCAGGTCATGGTTTGATTGCCAGTCACTTGCCCTAGTTACGGCTCGATCCCCAGTGGGGGGCATGTAGGAGGCAGTCAGTCAACAACTCTCTCATCGCTGATGTTTCTCTCTCTCCCTCTCCCTTCTTCTTTCTCTAAAAATCAATAAAAAATATTTAAAAAACACACACAACAAAAAAACCCATAAGTCTTAGAACTATCCCTCATACTTCCTTGGCTCTCAGCCATCCCAGCAACTACTCTTGGGGCTCTGCTCCAAGTCACAAAACAAAAGTTTCCAACCATATCGATAGACGCAAATGTGTATAGTATCTGGTAGCTGTGCTGATACAGTCTAAAATTAGGCTCAAAATACATGTGTTGTACTTAATAGTTTTAATTGACCTGATAATTGAAACACCTAGTTTTAAATAGATTGTGAAGGGAAACACCCCATATCAATCAATGTCTTCCCCACAAAAAGACTGAATATGTGGGCACATGTATGTCAAAAAATCCACAAGAACTGCTCAGGTGAGAGCTTGTTTGTCCTGGGAACCAGACAAGTATTCCTCCCACTTCTGCAAGGCCGGGTGCGAGCTGTGGTTTGAGAGCAAGGCCTGTGGTCTTGCTCTGCTCTGGCCCGTGTGAGGCCCTGTTTCACCTCAAAAAACAGCCCCACTGTTTCCTGATGAAACTAGAAATACTGAGAATAGGTCCGGGTGGCACACTGGCCTCTCAAAACGTTTGTCATTCTCTCATTTAGCACTCACTGTGTCCTTCCTTTTAGGGACTTTGGGGAATTAAAAAAAAAAAAAAGTGTAAAACATTCTCTTTAGAAGTTTACAATTTTTTTACTTATACCTGAAGGCCTCCTGCTACACCTGCCTGTGTTCATCAATATGGATGCCAAAGACTCTCAGCTGGTGGTTGCAGGTAGATTTTTGGTGGGCCGATCTGCCCTTTCAGGAGGGGGAAAGGGACAGGCTGAGAAATTCACCCTGTGGATTGATTTATTTATTTATAATGAGCCTTTTAATTCTAAGATAATTGCACAGTCAGCTGCAGTTGGAAGAAATAATACAGAGAGATCCTGTGCACCCAGTTTTACCCCGGCTGTGACATCTCACAAAGCTGCAGTGCAACATCACAACCAGCAGGTGCACGTGGAAAAGCCCTCCGACCACTGTTTCACTTGTGCCCACTCGGCTGCCCTGCAGGGAAGCAGCCCCCTCACCGCCGCGCCCTGGGAAGCCTGGCCTGCAGCGTGAAACAGGTGGGACGACACTCTGCCTTCGGAGCTCGCTGGCACGTCTCGCCACTTCTATTGCCCAGTGCCAAGAATGACAAAAATCTGTGTGTGTGCTTGGGGGTGGGAAAGACCAGATATAACTGCGGAGAGTGGTGGACTTGCTGGTTGGACAGGATTCCCAGGGCAGCTGTTGTACCTCGGGCAGCAACACTTGGCTCTGTTACTAGGATGGATGAATAGAAACTTTGGACAAATCACTTAAAAAACTGTGCTTCTGTGATAACTGTTGAATATACCATGGATCATCCTAAAGACTGAATATTTGCTAATATCATAATAAGCATATTAATGGTTGTGTTTTCACTTTCCGTTCCATTCTGACTAAATATCCTCTGCTTTCATTAGTATCTGTTGGCAAAAATTTGATCTGACACAGGATTTACAATCTATAGCTCAACTGAGGCAGGGTTATCTTTTTTAAAAAAATTTATTGATTTGAGAGAGATAGAGGAAGGGGGGAGAGAGAGAGAAACATTGATTTGTTGCTCCACTTATCTATGCATCGTCGGTTGATTCTTGTTTGTGCCCTGACTGGGGATCGATCCTGAAACCTTGGCCTCTCAGGACGATGCTCTAACCTACTGAGATAACTGGCCAGGGCCCAGTTTATCTTTTTTTTTTTTTTAAATTTATCTTTATTGTTGAAAGTATTACAGAGGTCCCTTTTCTTCCCCCATTGACCCCCTTCACCCCGCCCCAGCCCCCTTAGTTACAGTAACAAGTTAATTAAATTCACAGTGGAATTATAGATTCTAACTTATGAATCTGCCCATTGTTTGTTCTTGGCCAAAGACTTTAACCTATGTTTGATTCCAGTCCTGACCCACACATGTACGCATACACAAATAATCATCTTTTATTTTTCATATAAAGAAAAAGATTATCCAAGTATTCAATTGGTAGCTATTTCTACTAAATTAAATGCGCACCTTAGTGGAAGGCAGGATGTGAAGAATCGAAACGCCATCCCTGAAAAGTGGAATCTCGACGAAAACTTCTATGCATCTCAACACCACCAGTCAAGTCTCCTCAAGGTTCCCTCGACGGTATTAATGAGCATAGTTAAAAAGCGCCTTCATTTTTCCCTTTCGGTGGAACACAGCTGCCCCCGCTTCAGCATGGGTTTAGCTTGGGCATATGGACTCAGTGGCGGATCCTGTAGCACCAGCAAAGCACAGAATTAAAACTGACCTTGGCTTACATTGAATTCAGTTATTCGATCGCAGCCGGGAAGCTGGACCCGTAGCACCAGCCATCTGGCCGGCCCGGCTCCGTTCCCGCTGACCACCCGCTGCCTGGGGCACCCCCTGCCTGGGGCACCCCCTGCGCCTCTCCTACTTTCTCCTCTGCTCGCCTCGCCTCCCTGGGTCGGAGCCTGCAGGACGTCGGCTCCCCTGCCGCCAGTCTGGTCTGCCCAGCCCAGCCGCCCTGCCGTTCCTGGGGCCTCATCCTGGTCTCAGCCAGGTTTGCCGCCTTCCACCCACGCCTCGGCCCCCCCCATGGTGTCCCCTTCTGCCACCTCTTCTCCGACGCCCCCGCTGTCTGCCTGTGTGGGCGGCTCTCACCCCGGCTGCCGGCCTGCCTGACCCACATGCTGACGCAGCCGACGCGAGGTAAACGCGGCCCATCACCTGGCTCTGGTCCTCCCTCCGGCCCTCGGCTGTGGCACTGGCGCTCCACCTCCTCGGGATTCCGGTCTCGCTCTGCCCTTCCCGGGAGAGCTGGCGTCCCCTCGGGGCGCGGCGGGCCCTCCACGCTCCTGCTCCCGCGGCCTTCTCCCTGCTGCCTCTGAGCGCCGCTCGGCCGTCCCCAGGCCGGGCCCAGGTTCACTCGGATGCTCCTGTCGCCACCTGCTTATCTACCCTCCACGATCGCAGCACTTTTTGGACAGGTCGATAGTGTTGCCTCTGTTCACCTGCCCAGGGTTTGAGTCAAAATACGCCCACAGATGAGGGCAGATGGGACTAAATGTACGTGGGAAAGGTGGACTTAGGGTGAGGGGTCGTGGGAGAGGAGATGGGTGAGAGGCTCTAACGGAGTGACCAGTAGGAGTCGGAGAGAGTGAAATGAAA